AGATTCGAAGCTTCTAAAGAGGCTCACACTGAACAAACCTAGTTCTGAACTTAAAATAATAATTGAATTCATTCCAGAAATGAAAGGATGGCTCAATGAGAGGAAGTTAATAATATGATGTGTCATATAATCCCACATCAAGGTGAAAGAATGCAAGGATTTTCTAGCATACATCTAAAAATGTATTTGACAGCCTTAATATTCGGTCATGCTTTTAACATTCCTTGTAAATGAGCAATGGAAGAACGAACCTTTCAAACATATTGCTGCTAATGTGTCGCAACCACATCAAAGAAAGGAAGTCCCCAAACAAGCCAGGAACACAGGGGTTTGCAGACATAACTGGCTAAGACCTGATAGTGGCTACTTCTTCTCTGTCCCCTAGTCCTAGCCATAAATCTGGTGCCCTCACTGGGGAGCTGAGTGGAGGTGCTTCTTATCAGCATGTTATCCCTTTCACAGGGGTCACCTAAGATCATAAGACCATTGGAAAACACGGATATAACATTACGGTTTATAACAGTAGCAAACTTAGTTGTGAAGTAGCAATGTAAATAATTTTATGGTTTGGGGTCAGCACAACATAAAGAACTGTATTAAAGGCATTAGGAAGGTTGAGAGTCACTAACCGAGAGAGTGTATGGAACTCTTCTGGAAGAGCTGTAGGTGTAGGTGACGTGACCTAACTAATGCAGAAAATCCCCAGAGGAGGTTGGCCACGTCGACCAGGTTGGGTGGAAGTGGCTGTGTGAAGATTTGCCTGACAAGAGACCACACCACCAAGCCACACAGGAACAAGCATTCAACCATATGTCTGAGTAGATGGTGGAGTTCTTAGAAGACAGCTTTCAATGGAGAAGAAGGATCTGGGAGCTGACCAGGAACCATATTACATGATACAGAGAACCAAGAGCTGGGTTTCTGAACATGGCAAGAACAGGGTGCCCAAGAGACATCAGATAAAGCCATGGCTTCAATGGGTAGAATTTCCCATGGGTACAGACTCCCTGAGCTACTAACAAAAATCATGACCACAAAGGATCCTGAGTCGGTGTGCTCTCCAGCAAAGAACAGAGAAGAAGAAGAGGGAGCCCTCCCCCATCGCAATGGTATTTAAGACCTTGATGTCCACAAAATGCACCTTGGACCAAGAGAAGAAGAAGGAGTATTCAAAGAGCCCTTGGTCCACATCAGAAATAGAACCAAGTCACTACTATTGGTTGTAGCATCTAATTTCAGAAGATAGAAACCTCTCATAATCATACATACACCCCAAGTTATTGGGGGACAAACTCATGAGAGAAGATATCCATAGAACCATAAGCAAATATCTGTCAAATGTTCATTTTATTATTATTATTATGAGTATTACTTTCTTTTATTTCATATCTCTCAAGTCTCAAATAAACTATGACATAACCCCAAGCCCCAAACTCCCTTCCTGGAACCCCCACAGCATCATGCATTTCTCACACGTTTAACTAGATGATCTCTGTGCCGCATGTCCCGAACCAGTAGACCACATCTCCTTGAGAGCAGAAACCATGTTTGCCTTCCCATGTCTTCTGAGCCTGGACTGTGACTGTACACGGAACGTGTTCCATAAGAAACTGCTATGGAAGGTTAGGCCTGATCAAATGCTACACTGCTACTATATTGTCAGGGGAAATGATACTCAGAGAGGCATCTGATTGTAATCAAGGCTGTGTAGCTAGGAGTGGAGGAGAGAGGTAGAAGCAAGCAAGACCCATAGGCTAGAATCCACCTTCAGTCTTCACATCCCAGTCCTGCCCACACCCCCATGAAGAAACCACACGGCTCATTTGCCTAGGTCAGCACAATAACAAGACTCCAGAGGACATGAAAATGAAAAGCACAACAGTCTCTGGGGACCCCACCCTGCTGGCCCTGATACTCTCCTGCATCTAGGCAACTTCCATTGGGGTTGCTCACAGAGGGTTTCTTGCCTATGAGATCCTAGAGAGACCCGTGGTGACAGCTTGAAGCCATGCTGATCACAAACAGGCCATAGCTGTGTCTGACCCTGATAATTCCCCACGGGCCAGGGCAGTCAGTGCTACGCCAGGAGGCCACAGAGGATGGTAGCTTAGTGTTACAGGGTGAGAGCAGAGGTCAGGGAAGACTCTGGAAGATGGAGCTTACACCTTTCACCCAGGGAGGAATTTTCAGTTCACTCAGCAGGTAGAGGAATGGAAGAGGAGTCTGGGAGATGAAACAGTCTTGTCAAAGCTGAGAACTTCCTGAGTTTCACAAGAGAAAGCAGGAGGGTAGACCTAGGCTGGGGGCAGGAGGTCTTGATACCCCTCTGCAGGCTTTCAGCTGAAGAGAGATTCACTCAGATTTAGGGATCTTCCATCACCATAGCAACAGGATGCAGGAGGTCCCCTGAGGCCAAGCTCTGCTGGCCAGAATCTGGGATCCAAATGAGAGAGTTAGGAGACTCATGCCCTGAGCTATGAAAGTTACCTACCTTCTCATTTATCACCTCCATGTGATATCTATGCCTTCATCACCCAGAAGCATAGACCCAATGATCCAAAAGCTAGCTGCTAGCCAGCCCAGAGACAAAACCACAACCCACCATGGAGCCTTCTCTCCTCTGGTTAAGAGCAGATGCTGGAGTCATCCCAGGTCTGGCACTTTCTGATTGAGTGGCTTCAGCACCCCATTTCCTTATCTGTAAAATGGGTGTGATAGCTACAGCTATCTCAGAGTGTGGATATCAAGATGAAAGGGCACGGAACACTTAGCACGGTGTCCAATACACCACAAAAGTGTAGCCAACGGTGGGGAAGTCACGTAGAAGGATGAAAGAGATGGAAGGAAATCTATCAGAAGCAGGCCCAAGGTACACAGGAGAAGGGTGGGTTTGAACTATCTAATCGAATTCTGGAGAAGCTACTAAATCAGATCTGGGTTGTTTCACGGAACAAAGCAGCCAACACTGTCCTTAAAACTAGATCCCAGAGGCCAGGTATGGAGGTGCACGGCTTTAATCCCTGCTGAAAGCAATTCAAAAAAGCATTTGGGAGTAAGAGGTAGGCAGATCTCTATGAGTTCAGGGTCACCCTGGTCTACACAAGTGAGTTTCAGGTCAGCTAGAGGATACATAGTGAGACTGTCTCCAAAACAAAACAAAGCAAAAAACAAAAAAACAACAATAACACCCCAAAAAATCCCACAAACAAACAAACAAAAACTTAGACACCACAAAATGTCAATGAGTTTTGAGTTTTTAAATGTATGCAGAAGACTGACATAATTCTGTGTGTATCCATGTACCTCTAAAACATTCCCCCCAGTCTGTAAATATACCCTGTATTTAACAAACTGTAAGATGCCATCAGTTGTAAAGATGCACCATCATTTGTGTATTGACAAGAAAGAAACATCAGGGCTTATTACGATAGTAATAATGTTAACTTTAACATCGCTAAACTATGTGTGTAAGGTGGAGCTCAAGGCCAGCCTCAGCTACATACTGAGTTGGAGGCCAGCCTGGGGTACAGGCTGAGACTGTCTCAGAAAAGACATAAACAGAGCAAGTGAGACAGCTTCCTGTCATGCTTGACAACCTGAGTTTATTCCCTGGGATTCACGGAGTAGGAGAGGATAGACTCCTTCAAGTTGCTCTCTGACCTCCACAGGTACCATGGCAGGCATGCATGTGTACACTCTCATCCATGCCACAAATCAAATAACAAATGTTTAAAATAATAACTGATATATAGAAATTAAATGTGAACCACATATCCATCTCCAAATTGAGGATATATCCTTATAGGTAATATGCATTGCTGCTCATCTGTCCCAAAGATGAGAACCCAAAACGAGGCTCCATACACATATACACAGCTCACAGTTCAGCCCCTTGGTTGAGATAAGCCTCTTCAAACATACGGATTCTATGGGCTTGTAAGAGCTTGTAACAAACATAGCGGAGGGTCTCCCGGGTAGCTCTCATTGCACTGTGTCCTTTCATTTCTGACCTGACCCTGTAGATCAGACATATACAGCCAGTTTTACAAATGAGGAGACCTAGGCAGACAGGAATGTCAGGAACTCAGGTCTCTATTCCATCTTACACAGGGTTTCTAAGCAACCTCCACCTTACCAAGCAAGCTCCCCCATCAAGGCTTAACATTACAGGCATTACAGGAGCACAGCTTTGCTCTGGGAACTGGACCTTACCAGGTGGTCCGCAGCAGGCAAAGAAAGCAAAACCCAAAGCAAAGTGGACCGCCATTCAGAAAAAGGCCTTCAGGTGAGTTGGCCTGCTTTTAGTCCTCCTGTTGCCAAAAGCCACCCCTCCCCTCGGCAGGAGGCTTAACTCACTTCATACCACATCCTGCTGCTTTCATCTCGCCTTCCTTTTCCCTCTGAACAGCCTCCTTCCTCCTACTGTCCTGAACTTCTTGCATATTTATCACCACCGCCCTCGGATGGGTCGTCATGCCAGCGCTACCGTGCACACACGTGTATACATTCACACACTCATACTTGCATGTCTCCGGCGCGTAAACATAGTCCTGGGCGCGCAATTCCCTAGAACAGCAACGGCGTCTGAGTGTCACTAATTTTGGGCAGCCTGAGGCTCGGTGGAGGATATCGCCCCGGTCCTGATGTCAAAGGACTCTTGCTGTCCACGTTTCCCCAGAGAGTTCAGAAAGCCAGGTTCCTTTACTCCCTCCAGAGCAGAAGGTGGCCTATAACCTAGCAGGAGGCTGCACACACACTTGGCCGCATAGCTACTTAAATCTTGATGAACAGTCCTGGGACGCCCCTTCTGTCTCTGGGTTTGTCCCATAGGTTTGTGGGCCCGGGTCCCCTAGGTGGACCTTAACTGTGGAACTAGAAGATCGCCAACTGTCCAGCCTATCGGCTGCAGTTGGGGCACATTGTTCCAGGATGGTCCCAACCTGTTCTGGCTGTATCGAGCTCTCATGTCCTCAGCACCCCCTGGCTGCCCAGCTACACACCTGCAGTCCCCGCCGGGCGCTGGGCGCCGAGCCCCTCTCCTGCGGCGACTCTCAGCCCGACCACCGCTCAGCGGCTGGAACCGGACAGCAAGTCCCAGCATCTACCCGGTCTCTACAACCCTGGGGGGCGGGGCCTTGGGGGGGGGGTTTGGGGGGGGGGGTCTGGGCAGGGCTAGCCGCCCAGCCGAGCTCTCTTGCCCTCTGGTGGCCGGACCGTGTCAAGCCGGTACAACCAAGTCCTAAGATTCAGGACTCAAAGCAGTTGCGCTGCGCTGGGACCCCATCTGCTCCTGAGAACTACAAACTTTGGCTTGTGTACCAATACTGAGCATCACAGCACCCCAAGAGTAAGGTGAGGTTCCGTGGGGCGGAAGAGCGTTTTGTCTGTGCAGGAGGGGTGGGTGGGGGCTTCGGAGAAGGAGGAGAAAGAGGAAGCTCCGATGAGCTGCTTCCTTCTCGCATTGCGACCCAACGCCCCACTTCCTCCTACTACTTCTATTTTTTCGGGTGCTCTTAACCCTTAAAAGGCCTGCACCCCTGCTGTGCTGCGGAGCACCCTGACTCCTCTATTCCGTCTACAGGGACCTTCCTAGAAACTTCCAGCCAGTCCAAACTTCCAGCGCTGCTTCCGCAGCCTCTGATCCCACAAAGCCACCACCTCTTCACGGTACCAGATTCTCTCATCACTTCAGCTGGGTTCCACCTTCCCCAGGAGCAGGTCCAGAACCGACCACAAGGTCATACGTTTACCGTTGCTCAAAAGCCACAGCCCTACCTGAAAGCTAATGTAAAAACCCAATGGTTTTTCTTTTCCTGACTCCCTAAATACCAAGAAAAAAGCGACTTCCCCAAATAGACAGAAACAGAAAGTACCCTTTGGGGCGGGCGCAGAAGTTGGAACTAGGTGGGAATGGGCTCAATGCCCACCACGGGTCTTTCCACAGTGATCTCACCCCCAACTACCTGTTTATAGATGAGGAGCCCATCCCTGGGCAATGTGGTCCATACAACTGTCTCCCCAGTCTCTACTTTATTCACAGAAATGTTGATATTTGAAGGAGAGGGATGGAGGAGGCAGGCTCCATTGTAAAGGAGCAGACAAGATTGACAGTGTGTGCCCAATGGAGAAGACAGAGGAGAGCACGTTTAACAAACAGTCCAGGAATGTGTTAGAGAAGTTATGGAATGTTTGACTTCTGCATTCTTGCCGTTCTCAAAACTGAAGGCAGAATAAAGCGAGAACCCCAGGAAGCTGAGAACCTCAGAAACCCAGCAATGCTGCCCTCCAATGGCACACTCTCTTTCTTACTAGCAGCTGTGGCCCAAATGTTGAGTTTGAAATTGTCTTCCCTTCAACACTGGGGTGTGTTGTTGTCCCTGCAGGGCTGACCACCAGCCAGACCTCAAGAGCACCTGGCATCTTCTGGACAGAAATTAAAATGACAGCCATCAGAAGCACTGTCCCCAGTGCATCTGGGAAGACCCACGGGTGCCTCTGTCACTCGGCCGCACCTGGTTGCCTTCCGACCACTGTCCAGCTCTCTTGTTTCCTCTTACAAACAAGGCTACTTGTAATCGCCCTGCTTCCCTTCGTTGCCTGATGTTTTCAAAGAGCAGCCTGCCCTGCCTTCCTCATCTTACGTTTAGTCCAGTATGTTCTAGAAAGAGGTCACCAGGGAAACCTTGAATGCCAGATCCAGCATGCTCATTTACGTGTCTTTCTGTTGTTACCTTTCCGAGGAAACTCCCCTGGTCCCTGAAGACCCTTCACTTCAAACCTCTGTTTCTGGCTTCCTTTGCTTCTTTCTTCCTTTAGCATTGGAATCTTTGCATTTTTTTGCATGAGACTGCTTCTCTTCTCCCAGAGCTGTTTGGTTCATCTGTCCATCACATTCAAAATGGTAGCCTGAACTTCTCTCTTGAGTGGAAACCCTGTGGTTCTGGTGTCGCTGCACCTCTATACCTCAGTCCCCAATGCAGCTGGGAAGACCCACGGATGCCTCTGTCACTCGGCGGCACCTGGTTGCCTTCCAACCACCATACAGCTCTGTCATCAGTGCAGAGACACCCTGGGATCTCGTTTCTTCTCCACAGGCTCCCGCTCTTAACAGCACCATGCAGAGGACAAAGCTTCTAACACAGGAAGCCTAGACAACAAAACTCTTAACATGCTTTCCTTAAAGCCAAATACTCTGCCCATGGTAAACCACACCTCAGTGCATAGAACATGAGGCAAAGCCCTCCCTGGGTTTTTCATCCCTCCTTGCCCGTCCACACTCTGATTTCTGCTGAGATTGTGTCCCCTTGGTTATTCAGTCTGTATTCATTGCCAATCAACAAATCATTTCGGCTGCCATTCATTCCTGGGAAAAGACTGATCCCAGAGGAGCTGGGAAACAGAAGACAACCCGGAGGGACAGTCAAGAGAATCTGACAAAATGAGAAAAATCGGAATGCTCTAGACTACACTTCCAAAAAATGGCAGGGAAAATAAAACATTCGCATTTGTGTTTTCAGTGTCTGGGGAAATATGTAAGGGTTGTAGGCTAAATTATTAAGAAATTACTAAGGCTGGGTGTGGTGGTGCATGCCTCTAATCCTAGCACTTGGGAGGCAAAGGTAGGCGGATCTCTGTGAGTTTGAGGCCAGCCTGGTTTACACAGTAAGTTCCATGACAGTCAGGGCTACACAGAGAGACCATGTATCAAAAAGCAAAGCAAAACAAGCAAACAAAAAGAAAAAAGGACAGAAGGAAGGAAGGATGGAAGAAAGGAAGGAAGGATTAGTTATCAGCAGACATTGAAGAGAGGCTCACTGAGTAAAAGAGATTAATTACCTCACAAGCCTGACCACTCGAGCTCCATCTCTAGAACCCATGATGGAAGAGAACAGACTCTGGAAAGTTGTCCTTTGACTTCCATAAGCATGTGCTGTAGTACATATGAGCCTGCACTCATATACACACATGCACACACACACACACACGGACTCAAATTCACACATATACACATGAACTCACACACACACACACGTACTCACATACATGTACACACACAAAATTTGAAAAGAAATTGCTAGCAGGCAGGTATCATCAGTGGGCTAGGAGGCAGGAGAGATGGCTTTGCAGTTAAAGCACTTGTTGCTCTTCCAGAGGACCCTGGTTCAACTCCCAGCACCCACGTAGTGGCTCACAACCATCTGTAACTTGAATCCTAGGGGATCTGATATCTTCTTCTGGCCTCCTTGGCTACCAGGCGTAGATGCAGTGCACAGACATACATGCAGATAAAACACAGAAAATAAAAACTAAAAGCTTTAAAAATAAAAAGTAAATGCAGCAGGCCCTCAAACGGTGAGACACGGTGCAGTATCAGGTTCCTTTTACAAACCCTAACCGACGCCAGTGTGAACGCAATAAGATGAAGTCTGTGCAGTAGAATTCAGCCACCTTCTGCCCTCAAAGGACCCACAGAAACTTTGTCACTTTGTCCCATGTGAGGACACGTAGAAGAGCCATCTGTGAAGACTAGGCCCACACCAGGTACAGAGTCTGCCAATACTTGTATCTTAGGCTTCCCGGGCTCCAAAAGTGTGAGGAATGTTTGCTGACCTTCAGCCACTTTGTGTGTGGTGTTTTCGATATTGCAACTTGAAGAGACTAGGAAAATGAGCTATTTGCTTTGCTGAATAACTTCCCCTCAGATATACAACAGTCACAAAGAGAAAACAGAAACTTAGCAGTAGAGAAACCAGGCAGACACACGCTATGCCAAATGAACAAAATTGACATCATACGGAGTGACTCAAGGGACTGAGAAAGGTGTGTCATTTCTGAGATATGTGTGCCTAAAATGCTTTGCCTCAGTCTAACCATGGGGAAAAAAAATCAGACTAACTCAAATTGAGAGTCATTCTACAAAATACCCATCTCATGGTTGAGGCACAGAAAGATTGGGGGACCATTGTCACACAATACTTAAATGTAATAAGAGACTCAAGATTGGGTCTTGGATCAAAAGAAGGACGTTTAATTGAACCATTGGTAAAATTTGAATAAAACCTACTCATAACATCAAACTGGCCATGTTGGCATATGCTGGTAATCCCAACACTGAACAGGCTAAAGGCAGGAAGGTAATGAGTTTAAGGCCACCCTGAACTACATAGCAAGATTCAGTCTCAAAAATTGCTACTGTATTTATACTAATCATAACATTTTAAGGTTTATTACTATTTTATGTGTATTGTGTCTGCATGCAGGTCTGTCTGTGTACTGCATGCATGCAATACCCTCTCAGGTCAGAGAGAGTCAGATTCCCCTGGAAGTGGAGTTACAGTGGATTTTTACATGTGGATTCTGGAAACTGAACCAGGGTCCTCTGGAAGAGCAGCCAGTGTTTTTAGCCACTGAACCATCTCTCCAGCCCCCAATTCTAATTTCATGTTCCGTACTGATATTTGGGAGAGTTAGGCAAAGCTTTATAGAGACTACGTATTTATAGCTTTTGTTTTAACAAGTCCAAATTATTTCTAAATATAAGCCAATATTTGAAAAACAAAAAACAAAAATTAAAATTTGCAAATTTTAAAAACCTACTTAAGGAGTTCTCATTTCAACCTGATACTAAGACATGGTGAACTGCAGATGAAAATGATAAAGACACAACATCTCAAATAAGTAAACAGGTGTAAGTTGTTAAATTGAAGCAGTATGAGGCAGGGAATATAACCCAGTTGGTAAAGTACTTGCTTGCCATGCACAAAGGCCAGGGTTTGATCCCTAGCACCACATAAACCAGGCACAATGTTGCTACCTGTGATCCTAGCACTTGAGAGATGGACACAGGAGGGTCGGAAGATTAGTATAAACACAGTAGTTGTCCAATACACAACGAGCTTGAGGCCAGCCTGGGCTGCATGATACCTTGTTTCAGTTTTTTTAAAAAGGGAAAAGAAAGTAATATGAAGTGCCAATGTGGTGTTTATTGGGGCTGGAGAGATGGCTCAGCGGCTAAGAGCAACTATTGCTCTTGCAGAAGACCCAAGCTCAGTTCTCAGCCCCCACAGGGTGGTGGCTTACAACCATCCATAACTCCAGTTCCAGGGGATCTAACACCTGCTTCTGACCTTCACCAGCATTGAGCCACAAACAAGGTATGTAATACATACATGCAGGCAAACACTCATAGCACATAAAATAAAATAAGTAAATCTAAAAAACACATCAAGTAAGAATGTTGCCATCCTGGATGAATTTAAGAAGATTAGAACATGTCTGATGCCTCAAGAGTATTGTGTGGCACACACCTTGAACCCCAGCACCCAGGATGCAGCAGCAAGCAGGTCTCTGTAAACTCTAGGCCAGCTAGTGCTACATAGTGAGACTGTCAAAAGCAAACAGCAAAATCAAGTGGACTCATGACACATGAGCTGCCCTGTGCACACTCACCAGGTTGAGTTGAGGACTTACAAGGAGGGGTTTATGGGGTGGCCCTGGGTATGAGATGGGAGGAGGTTCAGGGTCTGCCCAGTGTGTCACCATTTTGAAATTCAGATTGGACTTCAAGGAACTGGTAGATGTGAAGCCAAACTGCATCACTGTCTCTCCCAAATCAACCCCTTGGTGTTGCTTTCTATATGGGTGTGACCCTTGCTCCAGGTCAGCTTCATAGGTTAACATCTGAACATTATGGGGAAAGAATCCCGAGGGCAAGGGAAAAAAAAGATGTTTCTATTAGGGCCCCTTGAGAGCTGGAGCACCACAGAGCAAGAGTCTAAGATGGGATGGCTGAGAAGGAACATGCCCCAGTTCTGGCCTCTTAAAGAGGAGGGTAAAGTGTGGCTTTGAAATCTCAATGCTTTGTACTCTGGTCTGCCCAGAGAGATTGACCCCAGCACGGTCACTGCTGGGAAACTCCTCAGAAGTAACCAAGAAGGCCTGAGCAGAGATTACAAACATAAATATCTCTGTAAGCCAGGCAGGTCAAACTCAGGAACAGACTTGGGACATGGGTTCTCCTTAACACATCATGGCATTTCATAGCAGCCTGGTTTTATAGTTTAAAGCCTCCTCAAAATTGAACCTGGTGGAAACGTGTGTGTGTGTGTACACTCGTGAATGCACGTTCACATGTGTGTGTATACACGCATGCATGCATGTGCATGTGTGTGTGTGTGTTTCCACATCAATGCAGCTTTTAAATATTCTTGTAATGTTTTCTTTTCTGGTGGCATTTTACATCAAATTCTTTCAACAGACACCCACTGCGTATTAACCCTCTAAGGACATTCTTCACATCCACCTCAAAGTATGCTGCCCTGATTCTCTGATGCACAGAGCCCTCTTGGCCTCTTTTATTTCCTCTACATCTTCTAGAGACATCATTACAAGAAATATTTCACTTTCACCTAATTCCATTATAAGAAAAGCAATTGCACAAATTCAAAAACGGGTAACTGACCCTTGACCCTGGTGCCTGGGAAACAATTGGATTTGGAGACAATAGGGTACAGATAGAAAGCTAATGAGGTAAATGAAGAGTCCTCTCTAGAGGGCCCCTGGGGCCCAGCCTCAGCCTGCTGTGGCCATGTGGAAACGCAGGAACCAGAATGGCCAGATCTTAAGAGATTTAAAGACAAAAAGGAAATTGGAATTCTTATCTGAAATTCCCTAATCTTTCAATACTGGCCACTAATTCAAAACAATATTTTAAAACCCCTTCACTATAAGCCGACTAGATACAACTCGCCAGCATTCAGCTGGTGGCATCTGTTCTATATTATACAGGTGGGACCATATGCCCATGAAACCTGAGCTATTTCTGCTAATGTGAGCTCATTTGTTCCCACTGGAGGGGAGACAATTAGTTTATAAAGGGGGAAATCAATGTAAAGTTTATTAATGTTGTTCATCATATGAATAGGACTCAGGAGACCCAGCAATATAATTACCCTGATGGGATGTCCCCTGATGAGAACTCAGTGACTGGAAATGCAAGGTGACTTTGGTGACGTGATAAATGGCATTTGTCTCCATCAAGCTGCCTAATGAGGAGGAGGGATGAAGAAGAGATACGGTCTTTAATAATACAAGCATCCCTGTGAACACAAGGATCTTTGTCACTGTAAATGGGAAGAAATACTGGGGGGAGAAAACAGAGGGGTGCATTTGGGAAGGAAAAGTCAAGCTTATCATTATGAACAAATTATGTATATGTGTGTGTATGCATGTATGTTTGTATGTGATTGTCTACCTAACAAACCACAACTAATGAGTTGGGAGATATTTAGAACCAATAAAGGAATTCAGCACAGGAACTGTATACAAAACAAATATACGGCATTCAGTAATTCTCTGTACACCAGCAGGGATCAAATAGGAAATATAATAGAAAAAAAATACAGCTTATTTTCTCCACCCCAGCAACCAAGGTGCCTTCGAGTGAAACAGGATGGGGACTCAGAACAGGCAAAACACCTTAGGGACAGAGAAAGGTGGGAAGACTCACATTCCCTC